GGCTAAGCGCCTACTCGTTAGCCGAGCCCGGTGTGCTGCCAGGCGACGATGTTAACGTGTGTGAAACACCAGCATTCACCGCACTGTCTGCCATGTCAACACCTAACCCTATAACCACTGCGCCCGCTTTGCTGGCCTTCAACCAAGGAGTGGTAGTGGCGAATTGGCCGGATTTCGGTGACAGTGAAAAGGAGAAGGCCAGTAGCTCACATGTTCAAACGTGGCAGCACCCATCCGCCAATGTGTAAATGGTCTATATCACGCAGATTATGCACACACGCATGCAGCTCTAAAAGTGATATCATCACGGGACAAAGATGTTTCGAATTCAATTGCACCACGTATCCAATCACAGCTGCGTTAGTGCCATGATGCGAGTGCCCCTGGTGAGCAGCTGTCCTTATATTTATCTACAATATTTGATAGAAGCGAAACGAGATGCACGAGAGTGCTGCGTGTGCACCCTTGCTGTCTTCGAGAGTGGTAATTTCTATGCTGCGTGTAAAACGATAGAACCTGTCCGAAAAAGGACAAACGCTCACAAACACGTGGGGGGGGGGGGGGGCATGTGTTGAGTTGCTAAAAAATAGGGCGGCAATCACGCTGACGTCATCGAACTGTTAAAACGTTGGTGGCACTCATGTGTTCTACGCAATGTTTCTTTGCTAACCACCGCAAAGGTTGCCCTTGCGTTTCCAACGCCACGCGGATTCTTGTAGCCATACTTATCACTCTGCTATCATGCGCTCAGCACTGTCTTCCCGCCATCGCCGGCCGCAAAGCGAGCTTCGAGCAAACTTGTCTCTCTGAGAAGCTCAGCTCATCTTGCATAGCTCAGAGATCGTAATTTGGCTCTCTAACTATTGCTAGTTGCAACTGATTACTGTTTCAAACCGTTTTGTAATTCCTTATCGTGTTGTTTGAAATTGCATTATTTACAATATGTTACTAATGATGTGATGCGCATAATATTTTACATCTTTACATCAAGTATTCTGAAAGGTTCAGTTGTGGCGACACTGTTAAATGAGCCATTGTTATGGGGATTATTGTTTTCACTCTGGTATCATTGTTGCGCCAGTATTCTGAATATCTGAGCGCGCATGAACTATTGCGAAACGAAAATGTCATTTCGCGATTGTCTTGTGATTTTCTTTGTTAGAATACCCCACTAATCCATATTGTCCATGAAGCGTGCTACGACACACGCAAACAGTGGCGTCTCAAAGTGGATACTACTTTCATCACCGCAACAGAGAACGTAACACACACAAAAATGTATAGCCGAGAAGCCTGCTCTCGTGTCATTTTCTGTAACAGCACATGTGTACAACTAAATGCAGTAAAACTCGCGCCGTTTCCTACTACAAGTCTGCGTTGGCTCTGCATATCGTTTTCACATCAGCCTCTTTAGCTACATCCGCGTGTTGCCCTTTCATCCCGCGCCACGCTCCCCACACCATTGCGCGTGAGTACGAACCAAGCTAACATTTTTCCCCTCCGCACAAAACAGTAATTTCCTCCTGAACGCCGCATCCTCGCGTGTTCCAGTGTTTGCTTACGCCTTTTACGTGACGCCTTCGCTCACATTGGGCCCGCCTCTTACCCGGAGACGAGCTCCGCAACAGCCCCTTTCTGTCCCGGCTTCCTTTTAACCCTGTGAGAAAAGTAGCACGTGCAATGCTTGCGGGCAAACGAAAGGGATGAGCCCCTTCCCGAGGTAACGGGGAAAACAAAAAAGGGAAACGAAGGATGCGGGAAGGGTTCGGAGTGTACGCCTCTATAAACATGGAGCTGGGCGCCCAGGCTGCAGCGTAACGCCCTGGCCCCATCCGGCGGTCACTTTCCCACCATCCGATCGACTTAATTGCACCCTGTCTGCCTCCCTGCATTTCTCGAGTGAGTACGCGTGCATGCTCTCGCCACTCTTAAATTGGGAGGAGCATTGTTTGCCACGGCAGCGACTGCGTGGCCTCTGGACCGCGCAACGCGGGCCTTCGCAATGCTTGTAAGTTGGAGGTGAGAGCGCACTTTTCTTACTGTTGTTTGTGATATTTGCCTATTTATCCCTCGATGAAATGCTTTATTTTCTTAAACTACGAACCTTTCCTAATGCACAAGATTATACTGACTTCCTTTTAGCTTTGTACTATGAACTAGTGCTTGTGAATCCTTCTTTTCCAGCCCTTGCTCCACATTGTGGAATTTTGCAGAATTGATTACTTATATTTATTTGCTATAACTTTTTTTAATTCTGGTTTTACGCAGTTGTAATCTGAAGCCGACTATAACCGAAGGTGCGCTTCCAATCTGCGACCAAACAATTAAAACAATAGTAGCTAAGCATAAGATAAAGTATCCAAAACCGGAGGCAAAATGCGAGCATCTAGAGGCTCGTTACAATGAATAGCACGAAGAACCGTCTGGAAAAGCGCTCAGTGAGCCATTCACACATGCTCCAGCACGCTCACACAAATTAAATGCCATGGTTTTGCCGCACGGGTGAGGCAATGAATGCGATCAGAACAAATGGAAATATCGCATGAAGAACAGCCAACAGCTCGAAGCTCGCAGCGAACTGCACAAGCACTAAGAGTGCCCAAAAAGAACACATAGCGAAAGAGCGGGAACTAACAAGTGTCACATCTCGACACTTGCAGTGCGCTGCTCAGACACAAAATAGGACGCCCTGAAAAACGCACAGGTACACACAACCAGGTCGGACTAACAACTGTTATAGTCGTTACATCAACTAGCTAACTTTCTGGATTTTCTAGATACCAGCGCACTCCTTCTGCCGACGCAGCGGTTGCAGTTAGTCCTTAGCTTCAACCAAAACTGCGATGAGAGCAGAAGTACAAACACCAACCCTCAAGTGATAGGCGCGCGAGCACAGGAAACTACGTCCTGTACGTCAAAAGAAATGTCGAGGCGCGCTTCCAAGCTCCGGCCAAGAACGGGTGAGGCGGCGGCTTTTAAAACTAGGGATCTTCAATACAAGCGTTTCTACACACAAATGGCGACACCCTATGTCAGCGCCGCGGCCATAATGATTCAAACAGTATAGCTATGGTGGTCCCTTATGTTGTCCTAATGGTTCAAAAAGAAAAACCCTTCACTACGGCGACATAGTAGTTACCACCCTGCAAGAAGGAATCGTGTGGAAAGTGGGTGGAAAAACAACTTCCCGGAGGAGGAAACAATCCAGCGACCTTGAAATAACGCGTTCGAAGCTCTACCATTGAGCTACCTTGGCGGCTGTGCCTTTAGCTACTTTATTGAATATATATGTGAATTTAAACGTAGGAGTGTCAGTCAGTGCCACCAGTAGACATGGCGGCGAGTATGGCACACTCTTTATTAGCCTGTAGGGCCTCAAGTAGCATGTGAACTTATTACGAGCTCGCAGCTGACCAATAGTCTTTCGTATACAAGCTAACGGCACCAAGTCTGCCTGTACGAGACTCTCGTCAATGAATAAGGGAAAGAAGTGAACTTCGTTCTGAAAAAAGAAGTACTTCTTTCGGTTCCTGCCCACAAGTTATCTTTTCACCTACTTTCCTTTCTTCACATTTACATTGAAATTCGGTCCCAATGCTTTCCTTGGCATTATTGTCTGTTATATCTCATTGGTATTGTGAAAACCACGGAAAAACGAGCCCTTAAGTATACACTTGTTTCCGTAACTGCCAGTACGACACCCTAACGAGGGTGTCGTACTGGCGGACTTGGTGCCTTTGGGTTGTATACGAGGGACTAGTGGTCAGCTGCCAGCTCGCAATAAATTCACGTGCTACGAGAAGTCCTACAGGATAGTAAAAAGTGTGCCACACTCACCACCGTGGGTACTGGTGGCGCTGACTGTCACTCCCACGTTGAAACTCATATATATATATATATATATATATATATATATATATATATATATATATATATATATATATATATATATATATATATCAATGAGTGTGTGTGTGTGCGTTCAAATCCCGGCTGCGGCGGCTGCATTCCCGATGGAGGCGGAAATGTTGTAGGCCCGTGTGCTCAGATTTGGGTGCACGTTGAAGAACCCCAGGTGGTCGAAATTTCCGGAGCCCTTCACTACGGCGTCTCTCATAATCATATGGTGGTTTTGGGACGTTAAACCCAACATATCAATCAATCAGTGTGTGTGTGTGTGTGTGTGCGGCGTGGGCGCCTGTATGCGAGGGAGTCTTGGCCAACTACCATCTCTTAGTAAGGCTACGTTCTACGTGGCGCTGACAGGCAAAAAAGAACATTCCACATTCGCTGTAATGACTACTGGCGACGCTGTCCAACACCAAGACATTTATGGAACTTGTATGCCCCATCTAGTGGACGGACGGGTGGCCTCCGCGTTAGCTCAGTTGGCAGTGTATCGAGCGCTTTATTCGAAAGTCACAGGTTCTGTCATTTATTGATTGATTTGTGGGATTGAACGTCCGAAAATCTTCATACGATTATGAGAGAGACCGTAGTGGAGGGCTCCGGAAATTTCGTCCACTTGGAGTTCTTTAACGTGCACCCAAATCTGAGCCCACGGGCCTACAACATTACCGCCTCCATCGGAAATGCAGCCGCCGCAGCCGGGATTCGATCCCGCGACCTGCGGGTCAGCAGCCGAGTACCTTAGCCACTAGAACATCGCGGCGGGGTGGTTCGGTCATTGCCAGCGGCAAGTTATTCGTTCACCCAAATTTCTTTCTTCACTTATATTATCTACCACTCACATCAACCATGCTTTCTTTGGCATGATTGGCAGTTAGTTCCCATTAATATTGTGTCTAAAAAGGGAAGGAAGGCCTTATTACAAATTTCAATGTCTAATTATAAATTATTCTAATTAGGAAGAGCTTAATAAAATAATTCGCTGTAGTGGGTGCATGCGATTAGTAGGAATGAATCACCATCGCCATCAATTCTTGCTTTCTTGTAGATTAGAAAGAAGAAGCGACTGACACGAGCGAAACGCGCTTATCATGGACACCAGTGTGACAGTGCCTGCTGCCGGCTCGAAAAGTGTCTTCGTGGCGTTCGCCAGTTGCAGTCTCCTCGTGGTCATCATGCTATTCCTGTCCACGCTGGCCCTGGTCAAGCTGGGCACATTTTCTAGGAGCAGTGACCACGCGGGTGTACGCTCGGCCGCCAAGGGTCACGGGGTCGCCGCCCAAATCCAGGACCTCGTCACTCCGGAGGACAGTTTCACCAACCAGGTGACCCCGGTCGACCGCCGGGTGGCGGCGGTGCCTCACAGCCCCCACCGCGGACGGTTTCCTCTGCTCCCCGCCGAGCTGTACACGAACGCCAGCCACCAGTACTTCTGTTTCTACCAGGTAAGCTAAGTGGCACTTTGGGTGCTAGAGTACCTGACAAGACCTCCTGTAAACTCGCCGACGAGTGGTGATCCGTACATTGAAAAGACTGTAGACAACATAGAAAAGCACACAAGCGTCCAGAACACAAGTGCCTTCTTCCTGTGTCATTTGTGTGTGCTTATGATTGGCGTGCTGCGAAACTTCAACTACCTACAACGAGCTTGGCCCTATTCTCTTCTTGTGAATAGAAAAATTTGTGATAGTTCTTTAGTGGGGAAAGGATATTCATAGAAAGTAAAAAAATAGCGGATACTTGGTCTTGTTGGTATTAAAAGCACCGTGCTCGGACAGGACATACATGTTCGTGCTGTTCCCATTTAACTAGTTCCTCTAAGCTCGGCGCTTGTCAAGGTCAGCCTTCTAGTTTGAAAGTTAGGGAAGGTGAATGAAACCAAACGGACCCAGAATAGGTGCTTACAGGTGCTTAGTCATTCTGTCTCATGAGTGGCAAAAACTGGCATCTCTTCCTTTCTTCCTCCGAATCACTACTTACACTATATCTTAACACTCGTACGACTGCGGCTTCAATGGGTTGTAAATGCGGTCACTCTCTTTTTAGGTGTAAGCTGAAAAGGCCGATTTCTTGAGGGCGTTAATACTCACGGCTTGCTGCAGCTAGGGGCCATTGGTCGTGGGCGTTTCCTATGTCCGGACGTAACTGTGTACATTTATAGAGAAGAATTGCTCCATTTTGACGTTGTCAATCAATCATTTGGCGAACTTCAGAGCCATGAGCATTCCCTGCATTCGTTACTCGTATCGCGAATTTCGTATCGAAAAAAAAATAGCCTAGCCTTTGCAGGACACGCAGCACAGTCACAGTGAAAAATAGTAGAGCGACCTTTGCAAGACCCGTTATAAACTTTCTTAAGGCCACTGATACAAGTAAACATGCAGGTGCTCATTAAAACGTAATACACCGTACTTTTCATGAAGTACAGATGCACCGGCTATTCCATTAATCGCAATTCCGCATATTAGCGAGGTTCCAGCAACACATCTGGCACGCATTATGTGCATTTTGTTTGTGCTGCAGCTGGGACTACCAATTTTTCAACGAAAGAAGACGGAACGGTGAGGGGGAGTACAATAACATAGCAAGCCAGCAAAATCGTTTTTTTTTTCATTGTTGTGATATCTTCCAGGCCAATCATTGTTTCTTCATATTTTTGCCCTGTCGAAGCACTTCAGGGGGCTACGTGATTTTCTTATCACTTTCTCTTTCTAGATAATGTACTAGAAAAAGTTGTCGTACTTGAGGTTTGAGGTTTATTTCTTTTTCCGGAAGTCCAGATGAAGTGGCCTCTCCTAGCCAGCTCACCACTGTTTTGTGTGGGCAATTTTTACGAACTTCGTTTTCCTTTGTGTGAGGTTCGTTGTTGGGCGTGCATTGTACCACATGAAAATTTATAACTGGATGACCCGAAGAGAATCGGGGACATGCCGCTGTCCCAACAAGAATGACGCGGCACTCAATATTCTGCATGAAAAATCTGCACAGCCCGGCTAAATCCTTGGGGAATGGTAACCCTAGCTGCAGCTGATGACGAATATAGCTTATATTTCGTAGTACTTTGGAAACATTCTACGATGTAATTCAAATTGTGAACCCCATGGTTCCCATTTTACTCTCTATGATGCTATATTATGTATGTCAACACGATTCCTCACCATGCATGACAACAGTGTAGGGTGATTCTGCGAAGGAGTTTCAAGCGCCATCGTTGCTCTGGGATAAAATACTTGATTGCCACACAGAGGGCGCGGGTACAAATATCCCTGTTTCCTTCAAAAATTTTCCCTATTTGATTTTTTTCAATTTCTAGCTACACAACTTGCGGGCACTATCTGCGGGGTATAATTAGGCCGCCAAATTTTGTTCTCGTTGTAATCTCATAACATTCATTGGTGTAATACTGCCACAGCGCTTTTAACTTCGGGTGTTTTGTGTTAAAGGCCCATTTCATGTGTATATACAGCCGCATTACAGAGCGTTTCAGACTTATGCCCGTGACACACGGGTGCCCTAAAGTTTTTTAGACAAGGAGACATCTTCCGGAAAAGTGTTCGGGTGCAGTGACACACGACAAAGAAGTAACTCCTTTTCGGCAAAGACCCTTTTCGGTAAAGCAGATTTTGCATCTACTTTACGACCCGGAAAGGCGTACTCTCAAACGCCCGTATGGCGTCGCTAGCACCATGTTGGGAGTGGCAGTTGGTGTGTCTGTTGTCGTGTGTCTTCCGCGCAACTCCTTTCTGTGAATGCTCTTTTTTGGAGACAAAAGAGTTGGCTTCAATGTATTTTACTTTTTCCCGTGTGTCACGGGCATTACATCATATGTTAGGCTTGAGCGTGCAAAGGCGAACACCTGAGTTTATTCGAATGTTATCACTAGAGGCTGCCCTTTTGCGAGAATGAACTTATCCTCTGGGCTTTTAAGCCATACAGACGAACCGGAAATAACCTGAAATGCTCCAACACATTCTGGGACGGCTTGCACAAGGCAGTATATACGTGTGAGAAAACATAAAGCGTTGTCTTTTTTACATATTTTAATGCTTTTTTCGTTATCTCATCTGCCCATCTAACTTTCTGTCTCCCCGTAACCTGCTTGCCTCCTCTGGGAATCCTGTCAGTTATCCTAATTGACCAGCGGTTATCCTGCCTACGCGCTACATGGCCGGAGATTAGGAAGTTTGCGGGTATAAAGGGGCAGCTGAAAGAACAGGACCGAGTTGACTTGCGGATCAAGATTGATTGATATGCGGGGTTTAACGTCCCAAAACCACCATATGATTATGAGAGAAGCCGTAGTGAAGGGCTCCGGAAATTTTGACCACCTGGGGTTCTTAAACGTGCGCCCCAATCTGAGCACACGGGCCTACAACATTTCCGCCTCCATCGGAAATGCAGCCACCGCAGCCGGGATTCGAATTCGCTACCTGCGTGTCAGCAGCTGAGTACCTTAGCCACTAGACCACTGCTGCGGGGCAGTTGCGGATCATGAGAGATGCCTTTGTTCTGCAGAGGACGTATTCAGGCTCATGATAATGATGATGATCCGCCATGGACAACCACATACACCGTCGTTTTTTGCGGGCATCTGCTTTCGCGGTAAGCTCGAACGTGCACAGGAGCTCAGGCTCAATTTCTTCGTCTTCTCCGAAAACTTGATGGCGTGCCTTACACATGCAGTCGGTTGCTAACACAAAAGAGAGTGAGGAAGAAGGTTGCGGGATAAAAAAATTGGTGACCTTAAAACTTCGCCTTAAGGAGTTGAACGCGACAGCCACATTCGTTTCCTAGTGTGTACTTCAAACAGTTAGGGCATGAACCTTTACGAATTTGCTATGCACCCACTACATGGCCTCAAAAAAGTACGCGCGGTAGCATGTGTGCCTTTTGTAGCGGGTCACAGGCTTTCATCCACAAAACCATTATGATAACCACGTATTCTGACGCCCGTTGGCATTGAACAATTGTACCACGCATTGTTACTTCAATATTTCATGTTGCATTGGGAAGCATGTTTACACGACACGTGTGTTTGGAAAGCATGAAAGCTACTTTCACTCCACTTTCAAGCAGACGAAGTTATTTTAACTGCTTTCACAAGTAGAGGCATGGCTGTGTGGTAGAACATCCGCTTGCCACGCGAACAACCCGGGTTTGTTCCCAGCTTCAACCAAAACAACCCTGGTTCAGTCCCCACTCAAAGCTAGGTTTTTTTATCATTCATATATTTTATTTGCGTCGTTCTCGATATTTGGATCACGCCTAGTATGACGATTTTTCGTTCACAACCAAAAACGCTGACGCCGACACCGACACGGACGCCGATGCCAGAATTTCTTAGAAACGAGCTCTTTAACGCTATCTGGTTTATATGTAAAGGCCTCAAACAACGCCACATTCACCAGAGGAATGGCTGTCAGCACAGAGGGGCTGTTTACCAATGCCTAGGTATGTGTTGGCTGAAAACAAAGAATAAGAGCCACCCTCCTCTCCCAGCGGTGGTATCTGTCGTCCAGGATTACAGCATCGTTTCATTTCGATTAGTGAGGTTGACGAATTGGAACCTTACACGCTCTCAGAGATTTTATTGCTTGGTTGATGATCGTAGTAAGACAAGCCTACGTTTCTAGAATTTCTTCATATCACGTTTTGTTTTTCATTTCGCCCAATAGCGCGTACGGACGTCCGCAGTAGCAGAATACTACCTCACTGTCAATGTGATCTGATAACTCTTTGGCTTTAAAACATGCAACACCAACTTCCTCACTCAAATCAACTCCGTTTGCAAGCCGGTGTATTCTCGCGGGTTGTTTCAAATTTGCACTCGTTTTGAAGTAAAAGCTTCCATTATTAAACTTGAACTCTTGTGGGAGGTAGCTTCATAAGCTGTTGTCCTGCTAAGCTTACATACGCGGCCTAAATTTCAAGGTAATCTTATCAAAATTTGATGAGAGTGACAGCCGGTGTATTTAGATTACGTGCTTGTTGAAGAAATACATCTTGACAAAGTTGTTTCCTAGTGAGGCTGTAATGATCTTTACGAAGAAGGAAGCTGGAGCTAATGGCGAAAAGCATGACGAGTACCCCGGCTCGAGCGTACAGTCTGAAATCAAAATAAATAGGTGAATAATAATAATAATAATAATAATAATAATAATAATAATAATAATAATAATAATAATAATAATAATAATAATAATAATAATAATAATAATAATAATAATAATAATAATAATAATAATAATAATAATAATAATAATAATAATAATATTAATAATAATAATAATAATAATAATAATAACATTAATAATATTAACATCAGTAGTTTTACGTCCCGAATCCGTGATATTATTATGAGAGACGCTGTAGTGGAGGGCTCAAACGATTTCGACCTCTTTGGGTTCATAACCTTGCACCTAAAGATAAGTGCACACTCGTAAATGATTCTTGCTTTCATCGCAAATGTGGCCTCCACGGCTGAGACAAAGCACACAACACAAAGAAATATTGCAAACACAACATTAGCTGCAGTAGCAGGTGTAGTGGTGCTAAGCAAAAGATAAGTTGGAACAGGTTTTGAAAATTTCAGCTGATTTATCAAATTTCTTCAAGGAAACAACTCTGTTAACATTTATCAATCCTGCACGAAAATTTCCGTTTTGACTTTATTCGTTTGTGTTTGGCATATTTAATGCGTTCTTCAGGAACCTAGAAAATTCTACACGAAAATTTCACGTATTAGTAATAAGGCTGGTTTGAGTCCATAACTTACGAGTTTTAACATGTCGCAAGAAACAATTGTCATCTCCCATTACCTCGTGCAGCAGAGTAATCCCGTGGTTATGTCACGTAAACATAGCAAATGTGCTTCATTATTATCATCCGCCTGACTACGGCTATTGCAGGAGAAAGGCCCCTAGCATGTTCCGCTATTCAACTTGGTTCTGTGCTTGCTGCTGCCACTTTATACTCGCCAACTTCCATATTTCTCCGAATATGCTTAACGTCACGCCATGTCATGCTTCGTCTGACTGTGCAGGCGCGAGCCGAGCGTCCCGAGTCGGCTGGTCTTCTGTTCGGCCTGCCACTCTTCCCGTACCACCTGTGCACTCACGCGGTGTTCTGCTGCGCGCACCTCAACGAGTCATCACTGCAGATTGAGGCGCCCAGCGATGCACACGGGTTCCCGCGATACCTGCGTGGTCTGAACCCGCACCTGCGCCCAGTGCTGGGACTTAGCGGCAGAATGCCCGCCGCTATGATGAGCGGCTCTGACTGGATATTTCTCGAGAGCTCCATAGTCTGGCTAACGGTGGGTGAACGCAGCCACCAGCTCAGACGATGCACTCATTAGACAAGAGACGAGGTGATCTTTAAAAGGGCCCTGAAACACTTTTTCAAGTAACCATGGAATGAATTCGCCGAAACAGCTTATTCCCACACGAATTCAACACCGCAAACGTTTTCAGAATACGTACAGTGTGGGAGGAGTTGCAAAGGTTTGTCGTATGCTGCAATTGCATTCTCTTTTATCACGTCCCGACGAAAGCACTGCAATCGAAGCAGGGAGGGATGGCAGGGCCACAGAAAAACGTCACGCGCGCTTTGTGACCTTGAGCGCTTTCGTTTTTTTTTTCTTCGAATGCGCAGCTTTTTAGTGCGATCGCGCGTGCACGCATGGAAAAGCAGCAGCCTCCCACGGTGATCTCTGTAACGAGCGAGCGTGCCATGTTCAAATCAGCCAATGGCTCATAGAAGGGCCATTTACGCTTGATTTTCGGGTATATGGCGTATTTGTCGAGAGAAGAGAAAGCAATTTTTAGGTGACTTTGATAACCTATTGTGAATTCTAGGCTGCGTGCTGTGCTATAATATTTGATTGATTGATATGTGGAGTTTAACGTCCGAAAACCACCATATGATTATGAGAGACGCCGAAGTGGAGGACTCCAGAAATTCGGACCACCTGGGGTTCTTTAACGTTCACACAAATCTCAGAACACGAGCCTACAACATTTCCGCCTCCATCGGAAATGCAGCCGCCGCAGCCGGGATTCGGTCCCGCGACCCGCGGGTCAGCAGCCGAGTAGATTAGCCACTGGACCACTGCGGTGGGGCATGCTATAATATTTGTCTCGCGTGTTGTCGGGAGCCTCTACTACCGATCGGCACAGTTTCTTGACCATGCTCAAAAAGTGTTGCAGGGCCTTTTTAATGCATTAGTTTTAAAACATGAACGCTGTGTCTTTGTGTTTCCTTGTCCCTGATGAAACGAACATCTCGTTTAGTGAATGATCGGAAAGTCATGAGATCTGGCCCGATCGCCAGAAAGGGTGTTTTTTCGTCCACATTAATTTATTTAGGTTGCGCATGATTTCAGGACTACAGTTAAAAAACCCCTTGGTTCATTCCCCACCGTTTATTCTTACCCTAGCTTGAAATTGCGCATAGCAGGAGCATGACAGATTTGTCTGAGCTAGTCAGCATTGATACTTTCCTAAATTGTGAAAGGAAATCTGCTTTTTTTACAGTATTCATAACTGCGTATTGCGAAAACTTATCTATCTATATATATATATATATATATATATATATATATATATATATATATATATATATATATATATATATATATATATATATATATATATATATTGCACCAAAGCATAGTGGCGCCAGCTCTGTGTCAGCGTGAAAGAAGACGTTGATATCCGTGTGTGGCTCGTGCTTGCCGGGTTCGTGCCTGCACGAGCTTGTTGCGGCTAACGTTTCTCAATAAATAACCTGTGTTTTTACGCAACCTTGCTCGTTGCATTTGGTGGAGGTGCTGGGTAACGTCCTGGAGCTCCGCAGCCGTAAGCTACCATCTCAGTCCGCGATGACCGAGCTTGTCGATCTCCCACAAGGCTCTTCCACGCTGCCACCTGTCATGTGTTCTGGTGTACTTCGTCTGCGTAACCCACCAGTATACAACGGCACTGAAGATCACGATGTCGAGGACTGGCTGGCAGAGTACGAGCATGTCAGCGCGATTAACAAGTGGGATGACCCTGCGAAGCTGATTCACGTCATCTTCTACTTGACGGATTTGGCCAACCTATGGTTCACCAACCACCAAGCCGACATCCCCACCTGGTCGGTTTTCAATGAGGCCGTCACCTCGTATTTCGGTCGTCCAGCCATGCGTAAGCTTCGTGCTGAACTGGGCCTGCGGGGACGATTTCAGCGAAATGGTGAGAGCTTCACGAGCTACATTAAGGATGTGATCAGCCTCTGTAGGCGAGTTGATGCGAGGATGACGGAGGCTGACAGAATAAAGAATATATTGGAAGGCATTGATGACGACGCTTTTCATATGCTTGTGGCCAAAGACCCACAGACCGTCGCGGCCGTGATTCAGCACTGTCTAAGTTTCGATGAGCTGCGCAAGCAACAAATTTCTACACGTCGCGCTAATACGCAAACAGCTGATATTTCGGCTTTGGAGTGCAAAAGCAGTGGCCCCAACTACAGCGTGCTAATGCCTCGAATTCAACAGTACATCCAGAAGTGACGACTCCACTGGTTGAAATTTCTTTACGCACAGCGAGTTCGCAACACGTCCAATCTTCTACCACATGCACTGCTCGTGTTGTGATTCAAGGAGTGCTTTACATCGTTCAATTTGTCGTCCTTCCGCATGCGTCTCATGAAATCATCCTGGGATGGAACTTTCCGCTAATCATGCGGTTGTCGACTGCGCTCGTGCTCAACTCATTTTGTTTCCATTCAGCAAGACATTCACAGATCTCCCTCGCTCACCCAAAAAGGTGATCGTCGCCGCTGACATCGTCATTTCTGCTTTTTCGGTCACCGCGGTATCTATTTTGTGCAACTTTGTTTCCGATTCAACTGCCCTCTTCATGCCGTCACAAGAATGCAGTCGTTGCCGGAACCTTGTCGTCCCGTTTTCCGTCATAACACTTGCCGATGGCTCCAGTGCCGTGTACGTGTGCAATCCGTTCCCTTGTCCCGCTACCTTATTGCATGGCGAATGTATTGGGAGTCTTGACACTTATGATGACATCTTTCCTTTCGATGCCCGTTCTGATACGACACCGATGTCCGTGGATACTGTCACAGCTGCCACCGCGCCCTCACTACCTGACGAAGACGTTCTGTTGCGCAGCTTAGAAACCGGCCTTACGCAAGACCAGCGCAATCAGCTCATTCAACTACTTGACCGCTTCCGCGCCTCCTTCGACCGCGAACAACCTCTTTTGGGACGCACGTCAGTTTTCGCTTACAATATCGACACCGGTCATCATAATTCACTTCGTCAGCACCCCTACGGCGTCTCGCAGGCTGAGCGTGACGTCATCACTCAACACGTCGATGAGATGCTCTAACGTGGTGTCATTCAACACTCACACAGTCCTTGGGCTTCGCCAGTGGTCCTTGTGCGGAAAAAAGATGGCTCCAATAGGTTTTGCGTGGATTATCGGCGACTAAACAAGATCACACGCAAGGATGTTTATCCCCTGCCACGCATTAATGACGCCCTGAATTGCCTTCAAGATGCGGAGTTTTTCTCTTCACTGGATCTGCGCTCTGGATATTGGCAAGTGCCAATGGCCGAACCAGACCATCCAAAAACGACGTTTGTGGCCCCGGACGGCTTATATGAATTTAATGTAATGCCCTTCGGTCTTTGCAATGCGCCTGCGACTTTTGAAAGAATGATAGACAGTGTCCTCAGGGGACTTAAATGGCACATCTGTCTTTGCTATTTAGACGACATAGTTGTATTCTCGGCGAATTGAGAAACTCATCTTTCCCGTCTGGAACAAGTTCTCCAGTGCCTTACGGCAGCCGGGTTGCAACTAAACGTCAAGAAATGTCGTTTTGGTGCCCGCAAACTCACAATTCTCGGCCACGTCGTTTCGAAAGAAGGAATATCACCAGACCCTGCCAAACTGCGTGCCGTTGCCGAGTACCCCAAGCCTACTACCCTAAAGGAGCTTCGTAGTTTCGTAGGCTTGTGTTCCTATTTTCGGCGTTTCATTCGCAATTTTGCCTCTATAATTGCTCCCCTGACTCAGCTTCTCTCCCGTATCGCGGACCTCTCTGGCTGGAATACCCACTGCGATGACGCATTCATGGCGCTGCGCCGGCTACTCACGCCTCCGCCAGTTCTCCGCCACTTCGATCCCAATGCGCCGACTGAAATTCACACGGATGCAAGCGGTGTCAGCCTCGGTGCCATTCTCGCTCAACGCAAGGATGGCTGCGACGAGTACGTTGTCGCCTATGCCATCCGTACCCTAACGAAAGCAGAGTTCAACCATTCCGTCACGGAAAAGGAGTGCTTGGCTATCATTTGGGCTATAGGAAAATTTCGCACTTACCTTTACGGACGCCAGTTTGATGTTGTCACAGATCACCATGCCTTATGCTGGTTAGCGTTCATGAAAGATCCTACTGGCCGCCTCGCGCGTTGGGCTTTACGCCTTCAGGAATACGATATCCGTGTTGTTTATCGCTCAAGACGCAGACATTCAGACGCCGATGCACTATCCCGTTCTCCACTGCCTCCTGAGCTTGCCTGCTTATCAACTGCCATTTGCGATTCGTCATCGTTGAGCATCACTGACATGCCATCCGAACAGCGCAAGGATCCTTGGATCAATTCTTTGCTCGACGTCCTCTCTCACAGTTCGTCAGAAACGACTTCACGCTCCCTCTCTCGTCAAGCAAGACACTTTGCTGTCCGTGAAGGCTTGTTGTATCGCCGCAATTACGTGACGGATGGCCGTAGGTGGCTCCTTGTCATCCCTCGTCATTTGCGTTCGGACATCTGCGCTGCCTTTCACGATGACCCCCAGTGTGACCACGCTGGAGTATTTAAGACTTACTCTCGCCTTCGTCTAAGATACTACTGGCGCGGCATGTATCGATACGTTCGCCAGTACGTTCGGTCATGCACCACGTGTCAATGACGCAAGACGCCTTCTCACAGCACTGCTGGCCCTTTGCAACCCTTGACCTGCCCAGCGAGACCATTTGACCGCGTCGAAATAGATATTTATGGTCTTCTACCCAACTCTCTTCGAGGCAACCGGTGGATTATCGTCGCCCTCGATCATTTGACACACTACGCTGAAACATCGGCGCTGCCTGCTACCACTGCGAAAGACGTTGCGTCCTCTCTTCTTCACCATGTCATTTTGCGACACGATGCACCTCGTGAATTACTGACTGTGGACGCGTGTTTCTCTCGAACGCCGTCGACGAGCTGCTCAAGGCATGTCGCACTGTCCATCGGAAATTCTCGGCATACCATCCTCAAACCAATGGCATGACAGAACGCTTTAACCGTACCCTTGGAGATATGCTTGGCATGTACGCTTCTGACGACCACACTAATTGGGACCAAGTGCTTCCTTTGTCACGTACGCGTACAACTCGTCGCCGCAAACAACCACTGGCTTTTCTCCTTTCTTCCTCCTGTTCGGACGTGAGCCATCATGCTCCATGGACACCATTCTCCCTTACAGGCCTGATGTTTCCGAAGCGACGCCTGTTTCCGAAGCAGCTGCTTATGCCGAAGAGTGTCGTCAACTTGCTCGCTCATTTACCACACAAGACCAATGGCGCCAGAAAACTGACCACGATTCCTCTGTGTATACTGTAGACTATAACCCAGGAATGCTGGTTTGGCTCTGGGTCCCGTCTACCCCTCCCGGTCTTTCCCCGACGCTTTCGTCAAAATACCATGGCCCCTACCGTGTGGTGCGGCAAACATCTGTCAACTATGAAGTTGAGCCCATTGATCAACCTTCGGACCAACGCTGCCGTGGGCGTGAAACAGTACACGTATCACGCCTCAAACCGTGCTATGACCCCCTTGTCGTGTCCTTTCTCTAGGTCGCCAGGTTGGCTCCTTTCTTCGAGGGGAGTAATTGTACCGAAGCATAGTAGCGCCAGCTCTGTGCCAGCGTGAAAGAAGACGTTGATGCCCGTGTGTGGCTCGTGCTTGCCGGGTTCGTGCCTGTACCAGCTTGTTGCGGCTAACGTTTCTCAAATAATAACCTGTGTTTTTACGCAACCTTGCTCCTTGCAATATATATATATATATATATATATATATATATATATATATATATATATATATATATATATATATATATATATATATATATATATATATATATATATATATAGAGAGAGAGAGAGAGAGAGAGAGAGAGAGAAAGCAAGGGCAAGTCAGGGAGGTTAACCATGTTCCACCCCTTGGCTACCCTACACGGGAGAAGGGTAAAATGGGAAAAAAAGCAATAAAAAGAGAAGAAAAGAGAGAACAAGTTATAGCATCGATTGATTGATTGATTGATTGATATGTGAGGTTTAACGTTCCAAAACCACCATATGACTATGAGAGATGCTGTAGTGGAGGGCTCTGGGAATTTCGACCAGCTGGGGTTCTTTAACGTCCACCGAAATCTGAGCACACGGGCCTAAAACATTTCCACCTCCATTGGCAATGCAGCTGCCACAGTCGTGATTCGATCCCGCAACCTGCGGGTCAGCGGCCGGGTACCTTAGCCCCTAGATCACCACGGCAGGGCTAGTTATAGCCTCGAACCTTCATCAAATGTCTCAACATACACTGGCTCCCATCTGCAGCTCGGGTAATCAGCTGATCACGATGCAAGAGTAGTACCGGAATCAGGCCTACTCGTTATAAAAAGTAATCACGTGATAATGTTACGCAAAATATTATCGAATTTCTCATTTATGCGCTTAACACCTCCTACCCTGCCTGAGCTTTATTAGGTAAATAAAATAAAAACTCCTCACTTTGCCAGAATATCGAAAGAAGGTAGTGTCAGTCGCCTTGGAACTTAATACACGATCAATATTTGTGACCACAATTTGCCCTAAAGCAATATCAAGTGGACGGGTGGCCTTGCATATAGAACATACTTCAACATAGATCAAGGGCGAATGCGGGCACTCGTTATATATATCTTTTTTTCTGGCAGCCCCGAGAGTACCAAGGCGCCGTGCTCCTGTGGAAGGTCTCGCTGGAAACGCTGGCGGCGCGGCGGGGCTACAGCGAGCTCCTGGAGCGCGTATCCCGCCGGTTCAGCCGCGAAGGTTTTGTCTTCAGCGTGCTCGTGGACACTGGGGACAGCCTGAACCAGCGGCTCAACCTAGGTGAGCTGGATGCTGCGTTGCCGTCCAGCAACCTCCACTCGACGGCCTCCATCATGCTGTATCCGATAGTGAGTGAGCCGCCTGTGGCCCTCAGCCAAGGCGTCCAGGACTCGCGATCTGCTGTCCTCTACGAGAAGAGCAGGCTCCGCGAGGCGCTCAAACAACTTCAGTCGACGCTCACGCAGGCACGTTTCACCGAATCACGCCTAAGTATTCCAGATAGGATGAATGAAGTCGAGTTCATCCCATACAAGCAAGTTATGCATGCACAAGAGTGATGTGTCATGAAGTAAAAATATCCAAATTGTTGGTCTAGAAAGGCATAACCACGATTTCAAAACAAGGAGCATGCTTCAGTGGAAAATAATGGATTTTTTGTTTGACCACCATGGCTCTCATGGCGTGCTCACGATTTAAGTGGACGGGTGTACTTGAATTCTTACCATGACAACGGCACCGCCATGGAACGAATGTCGCGTTCTCTATGCAACGCTAAGTGTCTAAGGAAAGCAGGCAAGCTATCCTTTTTTTGCCATTTGTAAACTTCTATGGCATGTTACAATCTGACTGGCTCTCCCGTAATCGTTAGTAGAGGTAAGCATGAAATAGAAATGGGTGGTGCAAGCAGATTAAACGCACTAGTTGTAATTTCAAGATGAGTAGCGTACATATTCGGGCCACGCCACCAGGAATTCATGATTATCAATTATGAGCTATCGATTATATCGATAGTATACCACCATCGATAGTACTATAATAAATAAAAAAAACTTATTGACAGTGCAATCAAGAGTACCGTCAGGAGTATTGCTGCTCATAGTGTTATCAATAGTGCGTTGAAAAGTTCTGCTGTTGCTGGGCGGTGATGCTTCCAAATAATTCGTGGTAGTCTGTTGTGCTCACTTCACTCAATTTATTAACAAACATTTGGCAAAAGCACAAAATAATTGATAATATCAAAATGCCAACATATTTTCATAAGTAAATTGACCTTTAAAAGTAACTAATTTTACTTTACAATTAAAGCTAGCTTTTGATAGTTTTATTTTGAAATCACACAATGCATTATAAGTTTGAATCCACGCAGTTCACCCAGAAGTAATGTCTTCCATGGGTAGTCCAGCTATTGTGTAAACACTTATTCTACTGAAGGAGCACCAGCATGTCAACTTTTTGCCTTTTAGCCTGCTTCTCGTGTTCCACAATATATAAGTACCACCTTCATTGAATCAACTTTATGCTGCAATGACTTCGCGTCGCTGATTCTACAGTATCGACAGTGCCATGAAACTTACTGCCGATAGCGCTTTCGATCCTTCTTATACCATCCAAAGTTTGACAGTGACTTGGCCATTGATAGCATAGATAGTACCACCGATAGTTCTGCGTCTCTACACACCACACCACAGCACATCTCCGCAAACCACTTCACGGCATACTGGTAATACGTACCATCACTGGTCCATATGGAATTCATTGTTTCTTGTTGTGTGGAGTGTAATATTGGTCTTTCCTAGCTTACCCATTTACAAAGCAACGCAGGCCTGAAGGAGCGGAATCTAGACTGACATGACGCATGCAGCGTGGCTCCGCTTCACAAAGAGACGGTAAAATCCTTCGTCTGTTTTCTCGGATGTGTCATTGAGCCGGACAACAGTTCAGGATTTTCTCCCATGATTGCTACAGGGCACAAATAGCAAGAGCTGAAATTGTTTATTGTTAGAAATGATTCGCAAACAGAGAAAGAATGAAGTAAATAACGACACTGAATGGTACTTTCCGCGCGAGCTCATTGTTACGTCATAGATTTTCATATACACGGACTATACGATTTAATGCGACGCCACTATGTGTTGTTAAAACATCGATACTAAAGTAAAAGGGCTTCTTGCTTCGGTAGATCTCAGGCAGAATGCGCAGTATGCGCAGCGATCACCTCTGTGGCTTGATAGCACTGAGCAGACTCTCATTCCTTTTGTTTGCCATGGTCTTGCCGCGGTCTACCATGAAATAGTGTGTACGGAGTACCAAATTTGACATTATTTTGTACTACTTTGATCTAAAATAATAGAAAACAGTACTTCGATATACGGAAATACTTCCAGTAAGCTCCCTCGAATAGTTGACAACGGGACTCCGAAAGCTTGTGCATGTTGCACCCTGTACTGCTTGCTTGAAAATGCTGCGCGTTCTGTGAAATGAGACTTTTTCAATAATTGAAACAATCAACATCTTTTGCCTTCGAATAGGATCCGGAGCCACTGTCGCCTTCACTGGGAGGCTCTGGTCGCAGCGGTCGTCCAGCGGGCGTCAGTCAGTCGGCCGCGAGCAAGCTGTGCTACGTGATCTCTTTCGCCGGCGTCACGTACAAGTTCTGGGACAGCAACGTGACCGGTGTCCAAGAGGTAGTGTATGGACCAGGAGATCCAGGCCCCATCACAAAGACACCCGGAGAGCTCGCCTACTACGAGATATGCAACGAGGCACGCTTTCAGTACTTCATCTTGTGAAGGCACATAGTTTGAGATTGTTGAGATAGGATAACCGTGCTCGGCACGCCATATCGCTGCGGGAAATATATGTTTATGTTGAGTTCCAATGGCAGATCGGGAGCGCTGGATCGCCTTACGAATGGAGCGCGAAGATGCGAGTGGGATTGCTCTCGCCAAATCTGCGATTGGGAGACGCGCGTCTCGACGGAGGCTGTTGATGAGCGGAAATCTAACTGGGGAGAACGAGAGGGTGCGAGGGAGTGCAAAGCGTTTTCTGGACAACCATCGGTGATTGGGTGAAAGACGGGCACACAGAATACGTCACTTGAACTTTCGGTCAAATCCGCCTATTTCGGCGGAGCAAGAATTTTTGTTCCATGGAGCAATCTGTGATCTGCGGTTGCTCTGAATCGGCAATTGGAAGGCACAATTCACGCTTCCAATCCGCCATTGAATGCGATTGCTCTGCTCAGAGCAGAAAATCTCAATCTGGATCTGCCAATGGAATTCATCATTAGTTCAGTGTAAGAAAGAACGCAGCGGGAATCTCCAAACTTGATAATCAAGAAGTGATCGAAAATTCTTAGAAGAGCTGTGTTTTCAACATGATGATTGATATGGGGGCTTTAACATTCCAAAACCACAAAATATTATGAAAGATGCCGTAGTGGAAGGCTCCTGAAATTTCGACTACCTGGGTTTTTTCAACGTGCACCCAAATCTAAGCACACAGGCCTAGAGCATTTTTGCCAGCATCAAAAATGCAGCTGCCGCTGCCGGATTTTGATGCCGCGACCTGCGGGTGAGCAGCCTAGTGATTTATCCACTTGAACAGCACGGCAGAGCTATGTTTTCAACTTCCGGAACCAATTGCCGGGGCCAGTGAATAATCAGGAGCGCCATTTTAAAAGGGATCTGTGAGTTGTCGAATGTAGGGAGACAAGACACGTGCGAAATTGGTCGCGGTTGCTTGTGGAATGCTCCCATAGTTTTCCACCCTAAGCATCTTATTCCTAAAAAGCCTGAACTGCGTGCTGATTGCGTACTCGTGCACACAAACTTATCAATCGCCAGCCCTTTTCGGGTCTCTTTGAATGCCTCTACTGTGCCGCAAAAAAAATCGCGTCTGTCCGCGTAGCATAATCATTTGAAGCTATCCCATGAATTCCTACTGTGTCTACTGCAAGTACAGTTGCGATGTTCCCCCTACTTCGCAGTTCCTTTTTTTTTGTGTGTGAATCACCAAAGGCCTCACTACACGTCCGTAAGACAACTCTCGAGCTGGCGTAGAGGCTAGTCTTGTTGATGCCTTTGCTGATGATCATGTATAAGTGTCGGAGCACTTCCTAATGCGTGGACCAATAAAACAACCGGCCGTTGCGCAATTCAAATGTTTTTACTTCTAGTGCGTTTCCCCACTTCTGCTACGCAATATTACATGCGTTAAGAACATTCCTTCCCCTAACCGACATTTACATAGTTTCTTTAGAGCGTGCCTCTTCAGCGTCCAGTCCTGTGTTAAACGTTGTCAGCGTCGGCGTAACAGAGCGGCTGAAGACGATAGTGAACGAACGCGTATTTGTCAATATTACCATGTAATATGTGGAAAAAAGTGGCAGCATATCCACGGAGTCAATGATGGATAATGGGGCGAAGCATCCGTCTGTGAATTCGTTCTTGCTTTCGTCCATCCATGCGTGCGTCTGTGTGGCAGCCCGTGTGTCCATCCACCCGTCCGTGCGTGCATCTGTTCGTGCGTCCGCACGTTCATATGTGCGTCCGTCCCTGCTTTCGTCCATGCATCTACTCCTGCGTACGTCCATGCGTCCATCCGTACGTGCAGCCATCAGTGCGTCCATCCATGCATATGTCTGTGTGTCCGTTCGTCCATCTATTCAACACTCCAAGTACCATGATCTCGCAGCTTTCCATCATATATTCCTCATATCGAAGCCCCGCCATTCAGCGGACATTCTAAGGACTGAACGAGAGGAGGCACACGCACACTTTCTTGCGGCTTGCGCTTCGTGTCTACTTCCCACCTTCAACCACCGCGAGTTCATGGTATGTACTAGTTCACTGTATTCATGGCACTGCGGCCCAACGCTCGCTAAACCTTCCTAAGACCAAGGAGGTTACGCCCAGCGAGTATAACGTAGCAACCTTTTCCTGTCAGATAGTGCTCAATGTACATGCCAATGGCTGCTAATGGGAAATGAGAGACAGGAGAATTTGGCTTTTACTTTCTTACGGCTTGTGCTTCGTATCTACTTCCCACCTTTAAGCACCTCGAGTTCATTCATGGTATATACTAGTTCATTGTATTTTTTCATGGCACTGCGGCTCAACGCTCGCTAAATCTTTCTAAAACTCAGGAGGTTACACCCAGCGAGTATAAAATGCGTATCCTAACCCTGCGGTTCTTCATGCCATCTACCCTGAACGGTATTCAAGTGCGCATTGCCCCGCTTGTGGACTGATAGCAACATTCAACCATGTGTTGTGGGAATGTGAGGCCATCAGCCCCGCCCTCAGCAAGGGCAGGTGGGCTGCGCTCTTACGCAGCCCTGAACTTAAGGATCAAACCCTGGCCGTCCAGAGTGCCCGTGAACGGGCCGCCAAGCTCGGCTTGATGGTCCCTACGTGAGATTAGCCGGGTGGCGCGGGTGGCGGACGAAAATAAAGTTCTAATCAACCAGTCAATCTTGCAAACCTTCCTTGTCAGACAGTGCTCAATGTACGTGTCAATGGCTGCTGATAGGGATTGCAGCATGCGCATTAAATAAAAGCCGAATGCTCCTGTCTCTCATTCCCCATTGGCAGCCAATGGCATGTACATCTAGTACTATTTTTTATTGTTCAACGACACACAGAAGAAATTTCTCACCGGCAACACCTTGGATGTCAAAATGTTATACTTGTTACATTCTACAACGGCTACGAGGGACGAACGAGTGCCGGTATAAGGAGCTTCGCCCCTAAAACATCTACGAATTTCTCTCTGCTCGTCAGACACGTCACCGAACCACCGTTAAGTGCATATTGGTTCACTCGCTAGAACGACGGAGAAAAAAGTGCAGACGCAACAGCTCCGCGCTATACGAGAAAAGACCCCCCTGGACACTACTGTTGCTTTGTGAATTGCCACAGTCGTAAACGACTTCAGTTGTGCCGATTACCGCAGCTTTCGCGAAGCACAACGGCAAGAGCGCTGTATGCGGGCCGTTGCGAACGCGTTGGGTAAGCAAATTACTCGTGGTCTTCACAGCCGGTCGCATGAGACAGCGTGATGTTGTAGGTCCTTACTTATTGTTTTGTGTAGCCTTGACAGAGAAGCGTGATAACGGAGATCGTGAAGCTTAACAGAACATCTGACCGCGGTGCGGGCCATGCGACAGGACAGGTGACGCGAGCGATAAACGTTGCACAAGCCGCGACAACCGATAATCTGAAGTTGTCACCATTACGCGGGATTACGCACGTAGGGCTTTGAAGGCTCTAAGTGCCAGCTTTATCTAGGAAATGCGAACATGGACTTCATACAGGTAAATAGCAAAGTTATCACGACAATAATTAGGTTTTTCTTGCCGTGAGTCTCCGCGATTGCCGCAGTTATCTCGGAGGCCTCGTTCTTACCGTGTATTGTACACCGAGAAAGCGGAGACGCATGTGTCTCTAGTTGCAGTACATTCATATAAAAGACAACCATCAACTAAACATTCTAGCATGCGTAATAAAATAGTTTAAAGCACAGAAAGCGAGAAACTGACGGAGAATGCAACTCCAAAGGCGAAATTCGCCTGGGCCATTCGTGTCGGATAAATCGAGCTCCGTACCACAGATCATTAGATTACTCGTGTATGCACTCCAACGCCTCGGCATCATGTGTATGCCCAAGTTTAACGCGATTAGGAGTTACAGAGCGCACGTAGGAGGCCTCGAACTCAGTGCCATGCGAAGCTAGCTTGCAGCACACCGAAATAAGAAACAGCTTTTTTACTGTACCCGCCGTTCGTTTTGATGAGCTTCCTACTTTTCTGAAGCGAGCTTGGATTGAAGGAAGAGGCTTTCCAGTTCCTTGATTTTCAAAAAACCGTTCCTCAACACCGACGAAAGAGGAGGTGTCATGCACGTTCGCTTGTGAACGGCTCTCTTTGCACTGCCCATTTATGGCCGGCGCGGCGATGGGGGCACTCATGGCAGCGTTTCTTGTAGCGCCGCCTGGGCAGAGTCTGATATCTGTAAGATGAGAAAGACAATAAACTTGAACCAGCCAAAGTGGTTCGTTCTAAATCGTTAACTTTGTTGTTACCGCATTTATTCGCAATGTTCTTGTAGCATCGTGTTTATATTGTACAAGAAGGCAGTTATTTCTTCATTAAAACTTTTGAACCATGCAACTTCTTACTGCCTTGTAATAACTTTGATGGTTTCTTTTTTTTAATTTCTTTTTTGTACATTATTTGTAGCTTTCACCTGCTGTGCTTAAGCGTTCCCAGACATGTCGGCTTTTTTTTTTATAAATTCACCTTGCCAACACTCATTGTTAGTTTTCCAAGTATCCTAGTGAATGTTGATTTTATTTTTGTTCAGCTCATTTGCAATCGTGGTGAGGAGCTATCTTATTATGTTTCTTTTTGTTTGAAGATCATTATGAGTACACGTTCGTTGCATCAATACCACTTTAAGACAGCTGTATTTATATCAGTGTGCACTTATATCATAAGTTTTTTTTAATCCTGTAACTATTCCGTATGATTATGTAGCAGTGCGTTCTGTAAGACAAATGCTTGTTATGTGTTTGTTTTTGCTGCCATGGTGGCAACACCTAGTAAGGCGTTTATTAAGCGTTTAGTCGTATTCGCCCAATGCAAATTGTAACAATTTCACCTTGCATAAAATAAATTGAAATGAATTGTTTGAGAGTGAGTACAGAGAGAGAGATAAAAATGGAAAGAGAATTTTTGGTTAGAAATATCTTGGTGATAGCAAGTACGGCCATGAATAGAACTGTATAGCAAAACGTTGGAGAGACAGAGAGAGAGAGGTGAGAGGGTAAAAGCCAACCAAGCCAGGACCAGTTATGTGCCTGCTGTGGCCCTAGCAAGCGTGACTTACTGTAAATGTGGCTAATATTTTTACAATCTATGTTTGTGCGTGTCCGCGTGCGCGTGTGTGTGTTGCTCCTTAGAACACATTGTTCTGCCAAACTGGAGTGGTATGCCAAGCAGCTTCTCAGGTTGGCATTGGTTCAACAACTTTAACGGAACGTTTGGGCCAAGAGTTGGTCTTTGAATTAACGGTTGGCGCAGCTCTTCGGGTAGTTTAATGTGCACCACCAAAAATAGAGTGTTTATTTGTGTGAATCAGGAAACACCGAATTTACACGTTCATAACGATTTCATTGAGAGGTTAGACAAATTCAAAAAAAGGCGCCAATTCAGTAATATTTCGATAATTATTAAATAGTGGCTTTATTGAGTAGTAAAGTGATAAACTTGTGGTACACAATGAAAGCATGTGGAAATTTAGAGGACGATGCAGTCCTGAAAGCACTAAAGCACTAGCACAGCCTTGGGGGTATGGGAGTGGTGTTGGGTACGTTTAAGGCTGTTTAACAATTTTCAATTTTGCATGTATAATAGAAACGCACACTGGGACATACATAAAGTACGATCGAACCTTTACTCCTAAAACACTTCTCGGTACCCTCCTACGTGAAGTAATACAAAATGGCTCGAGAAAGGGGGTGGCCGGAGTCAAGTAATTTTGTTATAAAGTGGCACTTGAGCAGGATATGCTCTGAGGTTTACCCCAGAGAACGCCGCAGGACGGCATGAAATGCCAGATTAAAGCTCTGTGGTGTGCTCACGATTATCATAGCTTTGTGTCATTCTTTTGCGGTGAACCTCAAGTTACACAGTAGCACCTCGCCCACATGTATGCTCGGCGTACCTGACAATATTGTCCTGGATGAAACAAGACAAAGCTAGGAGTTGACGTCCCCCTGAAAGCCAGAGCAGCAAAAGCTTTCTGCTGTTTTTGTATGTGCCACGGAGGATGGGTGGTAAATGACATGCGTCAATATTTAACCGTTACCATCTTCTCACAGCATCTTCTCAGTGCCAGCACTTACTCTGCATCCCATTACACAATTTAATAATTTTGAGTCGCGTCACTGCCTGTAAAGAGATGATTGTATAACCTTTAACGCATAAAAACGCCTAAATGAAAGGCACACATTGGTTAGCTATATAATTTCGCGGGAGGCCTAATATTGATTACTCAATTCGAAATTCATCAATTTTAACAGTGCAATAATTCCTAGCTTGGAACCACATGGCATGACCTGATTTGTAATTATGACCACCTCGTAAGCACTCTTTTTATTGGAATGGGTCATCCACATTGTCGACAATTATTTTTCACAGAACATCTCTGAAGTGCCTTCCTTGGCTATATTGGCTATGAATTTATGTCGTGTGCTGAGGTCAGAATCAAGCGAAATAGAATATGTTCGCAAGTGGTGGTGAATATGTTCGCAAGTGATTTATGAGATGCAGCAGCACAGTCAGAAAAGCACGCTTGGTGGTTTTCTTAGAAACTTTCTCTTTAAATCGACGCAGGTGTGGGACTCAAGCCAAGTGTTCGAGTTTGGCGTTGTGTCAAAGCAGGGTGCCAACTGGGTGTCGCACCTCACCGAGTTCGTGGTGCCCCCGTTGGCGCGTTACCTCCGCGACCAGTTCGGAGCGCGCTGCTTCGGCGTCTGGAACCTCTGGCACGACGATTTCGCAGGCGTCTGCGGGGGTGGTCAATACCCGCTAATGAGGAACCTCTTCGGCGTCTTTTCTGACCGACGATGATAGCTTACTCATCCGTCGGCGCCTGATTATGGCACCAGCAGTGTCGTCACTTGTCGACCTTCTGTTAGTAAAATGATAATGCGATACGCCTAGTGGAAAGTTGTTGCCCACACAGGGGTCTCTCGCTGACCGCTAAGCGGCGTCAGTGTATGCGTAACCGTGCTAAGCTTTATCGTTTGCGTTACCTACACTGTGTAATCATGCATTTTATAATGTTATTATTTAATTATTTTCCAGTCTTCTTTTAATCTTTTACTCTTCTCTCACTTTACTTCCCTCTCTATCCCTTATAATCCCTCCTTATCTCATTCTCTTGTGAGCTACTGCTAAGGCGTCACACTTCAACGTTATTCCAAGCAAATGTGTGGCTCTGTGGTGAAAAGCGGCGGGGCTGGCACGCAATGCAGCCACCTTCGAAACACATTGTCACCTCGGTGTTTTAGTACTTAGCTATTTTTTGCTTATTTCGTGCAATATTCATTACCGACAACGGCGGCGGACCACTACGGCAAACGCGACGCTTGTGATCTCACAAAAGCTTTAGCTACAGAAGGTTTCGTTTTCTCGGTGCACATATCAACAAATGTAAGAAAGAAAGTGACGTGATTGAGCGCTCTAGACTAAGCATAAAAGTGTTAGGCTAAATGGCCACATTGTTGTAAGAAATGGCACTGTCATCACTATATTCTATCCATTCATTACTGCTGTTACAGTGTTTACTATTGGCCCTCATTATCGGTGAATAGCTGTGACTTGGTTTAACGTAAATTATATCCAGCGCCTGCTTCTTCTCCATATCTAATATCCACCAGATATGTTTTTACCGATCTGATAACTTTAATTTCATAACGCGTGCTTTATAAAGTTTACAGAGAGCTATTTATGAAGCTAAGAGTGAACAAAGATCTAGCACACGCGATAGACGCCGGTGACGTCAAAATCTGGGCAGATAAAGGTTCTTACAAAAAAACAAGATCCACTACAGAGTGATGTTATGTTATTTCGAAAGATATGAAGTGCACTGAGGACGAACGAATGCAAAGCTCACAAGAAAAGTCCGAGGTAATACGTGTCTGAGTCAAGATGGCTACAGCGACCTGAGCGGCCGGCCTGTAAGGCAAGTAGAGAACACTGTGCATATTAGGATCCAGGAAAACGGCAAGGTAGCCACATCTTAGACAACCTGAACAAAACCCTGACAAGCGTAGTGCGCATGGTCTAGTGAGTAACCAGAAATTAAGTTTTCGAGGAAAAAGAAATGAACGGCTAATGCAGGCTTTCGTCATGAGCCGCGTACCTTGAGACCTTCCGTTTTAGAAAGTAGCAGAGACCCACCAGGTCTCTGTGTTCATTACGTACGCCATACCCATTCAGATTCCGGAGACTATTACGCGATAAAAGCAATAAAACGTATCAAGACCTCGGAATTTATGAAACATTTTATAAGAATTCATCATTTGTCCTCACCCAACAGGAAATACTCAATAGAGAAAAAAAGAGCCTTTCAGAGAAAGCTAGGGTAACATCTGTGATGATGATTCTCGAAGCTATGGCGAAAATCGCGAAGGGGGGTTGGCCACGAAAGTTGTCACAGCAAGACTTGTGGAAGAAATGTTAATAAATATAAGAGAGAGATCAAGAGAGGCAACAAAGATAAGAGAAGGATATGCGAAGAAAATAATCTGTTGGTAAGCAGATACATTTGTGAAATTTTTGGTGTGTTCTACTGCAATGCTACAAAACTAATGTTAAACATTTGGCATAACTTATTATTCAGTTAAATTTATAAATTCTTATATTTTAGGTGTACCAATAATACTAATGCGGCATTTTGTTTGTTTTTTTGTACAAATAAATACAGCATCAAATATGCCCCTGTTGCAGTGCCACAGGGCCGACAACCCCAGGGAGAGTAACGGCGATGTTGGTTCGAGGCCACTTTTTCAAAAAGGTGACCGCAGTTTTACGCAGAACAACTACTTCTACCTCATGAGATTGGCGATAAGATGACAAAGTTAGCTGTTCTCTAAAACATGAGTGCAAAAATATTATGCGGGCAGACAAAGTGCCGGGTGCGGAGTTTCGCAAAAGCAGTTCGGACAGTCAAGACTTTTATACTACACAGACACATACAGAAGAGCCGAAGACGAAGTCCTTGTAGTAGCCACAAATCAACACAGTAATATCTCAGCGATCTATGGCCGCATAGAAGAGTCCGCAGTTCTACAGCACTGGCCATATCAAATGCCAAATGCAAGACCCAGGACGTCATGTTATCTCAGATTCACAGTCAGCATGCCATCAATACCTCACCTGATCTTTATCGAAATCTGGCGATGAATTCCTCGGAACGTACATGCAACAACACGCCATTGTCATTTGGTGTCCTGCACATGTGGTGCAAGAAAGTAACGAGAGATGGTACCGGCATAAGATGATACAGATCACGGAATCAGTTCCTTCCACTTGCGCAACTTTGCGTATTTTCAATACTTTCAGTATGAACCAACTGGTGTGCAATTAGTGCTGCTGCTTCCTTTTTATTTGATCATATTAAGCTGATCTCATTGCATTCTCCACTCGAGTAAGTTTACGTTCTTTCTTGTCAATCAGACATACGTACCTGTATGAGTGCACCAGTAACTCACCCTTCAGAATCATGCAGTAGAGACTCAAAACAATAAACTCACAACATGCTTCCGGTGGCAGTACTGGTTAACTTTTATACCTGTATGCTTTTGTCTCGCCTAAATCCTAATAAAACTACAAATTTTAAATATATATATGTAACGGGTGAGACATGGCGCCAGTCAGAACACCAGTTTATTCCGACCCTTCGTCTTCCTCATCTTCCTTTCCCCCATTCACCTGTGAAGCGTCACACGTTTCCCCCTCCCCCCGAGAGAGCGTCAACTTATTGGGACAATAGTAGCAACGCAGTTTGTTGACGTGCACAATATCAGTAGTTCTGCTTAACGGAGCTACGCATCGGTCGATCTCATAGTTCACAGGAGAGACTCTGCGAAGAATTGTGTAAGGTCCTTCCATGACTGAACTGAGCTTTCCTTTGTTCGGGTGCCAAGGTGTTTCGTAGAGGACCAATTCACCAGGTTGGAGATCTTGTGGTAGGAATTTTTTGTCGTAGATTATCTTGTTCTTCTCATGATAGGCAAGCGTGTTCTTGATTGCACTTTTCCTTGCTTCTTGCACACTCTCCATTGGTGCGTCTAAAATTGTGTCGTATGAAGGAATTCCATACATTAGGTACGATGGTGGATATCGTGTTACTTCATGTGGGGTTCTGTTGTATTCATCGACAACATCCGAAAGATGTTTGACCCAAGACTTCTGTGGCTGCTCATTCATTTTGCACTTTAGCCGGGTTACAATAGTCTGATTTGTACGTTCGTTCATGCCATTACATTGAGGGTGTTGGGAGGATCTGAACAATTGGTGGACACCATTTCGTTTTAGAAACTGCTTGAATTTTCCAGCTGTGAAAGCTGGTCCACGATCAGATTGGAATTTATTGGGTTTTCCTGCTGCAAAGATGGCGGTGATGCACGAAATGTATGCGTCACAAGTTTCGTTCTTGTGGGGAAACGCCCAGACATACCGCGTAGCGTGGTCGATCGCCAAGTAAATAAACTTCTTTGTCGAGCCATATCCTGAAAAACCACCTATAGTGTCCATTGCTAAAAGATCAAAGGGTTGTTCTGCAGTTGGTAGTGACTCGAGAGATCCGAATCTCTTGGTTTTCGGCTTCTTGCAACGCTGATATATGTCACATTGGCGGATGTAGGATGAAACGTCTGTGATGATTTCCGGCCAATAGTAGGATGATGACAACAAGCCCAGTGTTTTCTTTACTCCGACGTGTCCGAACTGACAGTGTGCTTTCTGCAGAAGGCCCAGTCGAAGCTTGAAAGGAACGTACACTTTGCGAATTCGTTTACGTGTCACGATAGTGACCCCGTTTTCCGTTGTGTACTTGCAGCGAGGGCGGTCATCCTGGTAAGTTTGAAGTTCTGGTAATGAAAGGAGTTGAACCATAGGGCTTCGCGAAAATGCGCCCGCCTCGATGTTTTCGCTGCCTTTTTGATGTCGAATGTTAACGTCATACATCGACAGCTTCAAAGACCATCGAAAGAGCCGGCCATGTGGGTTTTTTATGTTTCTGAGCCATTGTAAAGCAGCATTATCGGTGACAACAGTGAATGGTCGTCCATGTAGGTAGCAGTGCCACTTGTCAACAGCGTCAATTATAGCGAGGCATTTGAGCTCTGTAATGGCATAATTTAATTCGTGCGTGAGTAGCTTACGCGAGTGATAGGCAACGGGGTGTTCTTTACCATCATGATCTCTTTGCTTCAGAACTGCACCTACGCCTACGTTAGATGCGTCGCAATAAAGAATGCATGGTTTCTCGCAAGAAAAAATTCGTAAAATGGGTTCTTTGGTCAGACAGTATTTCATGTTCTCAAAGGCTTGTTCACATGAGGAATCCCATTCCCATGGTGTGTCCTTCTTCAACAGCTTCGTAAGTGGGAAAACCACGTCACTGAAGTGCGGTATAAACTGGCGGTAAACGTTGGTGGTGCCTAAAAAACGCTGAAGCTCTTTCGGGGATTTCGGTCTTGGGAATCGCAATACAGCTTCTATGTTTCTTCGTATAGGCGACACTGTACCATGCGACACTCTGTGACCCAGATATTCAATAGAATCTTGGGCAAAATGGCATTTCTTCAATTTAAGTTTTATATTCTCCCTTTTTAGGGCATGCAATAGAGCTTGTAGGTGCTGTAGGTGCTCAGTAAATGTGTCGGAGAAGACTACAATATCATCAAAATAATTAACGACATTCCTTAAGTTATGTTTTCTGATAACTGATTTCACAGCTCTTTCGAATGTAGCAGGAGCATTTCTCAAACCGAAAGGCATAACAAGCCACTCATAATGGCCATTCGGCGTGACGAAAGCTGTTTTTGGGATGTCCTCTG